CCAAGCCCCCCCGCCCCTGAGCTTCCCCTCCCCCTTCTTCCCCTTGATTCCCCCTCCCAGGTTTCCCCCTCCCCACTCCCTTCCCACCTTCTTTCCCCAGTCTCACTAGAGTTTCATTCCCCCCTTCCCCCCTGAGTTTTGTTAAATAGAGAAAGTTTGTGTTTATGAAAAAACATGTATTTTATTTTACATCAGGAAGGGAGGCTGGGGGAGGTAAGTGGAAGGATGTGAGGGAGGAATGAGGCACAAGCCCCCAGTGGGGCAGACCAGGGAGGCTCTCAGTGCTCCTCAGGGTGGAAGCTCTCCCGCAGGGCCTCCTGGATACAAACAGCCCCCCAATGGACCTCCCAGATGGCTGCCTGCAGAAAGTGCAGCCAGGCTCGCAGCAACGGGTCCAAGAGAAGCACCAGAGTGCCCAGAGGCAGCTCTGGCTCCATGTTGCAGAGTGCTGCTGTATCCCAAGTGAGGGCAAGCAGAGCACGCAGGGACAAAATGCTTTGCTGTCCCTCATCGAGGTAGACAAGCAAGCAGGGAAACCTGAGAACTGGCTGTCCATGGGGGTCCCTTTAAGCACTGGCCTCAGATAGCCTCAGGCATCAGCCACACAAAGTAACTCCTGACCTGAGGCCCTGCCAGACCTGGTTCTGGCTGGCCTTAAATGCGATTCAGCGTCCACTATTTCGAAATAGCAAACTGTTATTTCAAAACAAGACGTGTTATTTTGAAATAAGCTATTTCGAATTAACTATTTCAAAATAGCTTATTTCGAAATGACGCTGTAGTGTAGACATACCCTATGACAGTTGCAGCTCCGGTGTGTGCAGCTGGGGGGGAGGTGCACGTCCCCCAGCTGGAGCAGGTCCAGGTTTGTGTGCCCACTGCGCTCCCCAGCCATAGTGAGGAATGCAGCAAACCGTGCATTTTCCCCTTGCTCTGTGATGAAGGAGAATAGCCAGCAATGTGAATGGAGGGCGGGGAGGCAGAGCTGCAGCCTTCCCCACCAGCTCTCAAGGAGATGTGGGGGGTTGGGAGGCTCGGGGCTGAGGCAGTGCCTAGGTTGGCCAGCCAGGCCCTTTTATCTGCCTGATGATTCTGCCTGGTTTTATGCTTCTGAGTATGCAAAGCTTCCCCTTACCCCCACACAACCGAACCCTGACCTTGCTTTAAGTTTTGATAAGAGGACGCTGTGTACCAAATTTGGTGATCCTGGCTCTGTTTAGGAGGAGTTCTTCAACAAATGGAGAGACAGACTCGGTCAAAACAAACTCTCCCAAATATAAGGTAGACTAGAAGACTTACTTGGCATTGCTCCAGTCCTTTAGGGCATGTATGGAGGGGTGCAGGAGTCAGGGCAGGGGGATTGGGTGTGGGGCAGCTTAGGAGAGTGGGTCTGGGTGCATGAGTCAGAGGGATGGAAGGGGTGGGAATTTCAAAGCAGGGGGCTGGAAGGTCTGGGGGGCTCACAGTGGCAAGGATGGTGCTACAGCTGTTGCTCCCGCCCCCAGCTCCTCTTAGAGGGGGCCAGTCCTGTGGTGGCTAGCTCCAGTTGCTGGCAGGACTATTCCATGAAGGAGGGCCAGGGTTGGTGCTTTGTGGGGGAGAGGGCTGTGTGGCCCAGCCCTGGCCCCAGCTCCCAGTGGTGCTCCTGGAGGGTGGGGGCTGCACCGCCAGTGGTGTTCATGGGAGCAGCAGGGCTGCACAGCTCAGCCCTCGCTCCCAGTGGTGCTCCTGGAAAGGAGGGACCAGGGCTGCATGGCCCAGCCCCAGCATGGCTGCTGGCTGGTGGGTACTGCAGGCGAGGGCTGGGGGAGGGGTTTAGGGCAGGAAGCCACTTACCTGGACCAGTGGCCAGCAACATGGAAAACCCTGACCCCAGCTGGCCATTCTCCACCTGGTATGGCCGCCCCGCTGTGGTCACTCCACAGTATACCTGTCCCTCATGCTTGCGGCCTCCTGCGGTCACTCTGCAATATAATCAGCCCTCTCCTTTTCTGTGTTATGGGAAACAATCTTATTCCAGGCACATCCCATTTTCCTAGTGTAACCCACACACTGAATGTGCTTCACTGTCCCACGTAGTGACACTTAGAGCACAGAGAAAGATACGAACAAGGGAGCTCTACAACCTAAGCTGAGAAACAGCTGGCTTTATAGGTCATGCTTTAGAGGCTACTACAGGAAGATCCAGAAGTCCTAGGTTCAAATCCATCTGGTGGCAGTTACACTAGCACAAATAAACCCTCATCTTGCTTTAAGTTAGGATAAGAGGAAGCTGTGTACCAAATTTAGGTTTTACCGTTTAGGAGGAGTTTTTGAAAAAACTGACTCACAGACAGACACACAGATTCTCTAAAATACATATAAAGATGATATATTAGATGGTAAAATAAGGAGGCAATGTGAGGTGTAACTGTGCAGTGTAGACACAGGGGTATATTCACTCAACTTTGCAATCCTTGCCTTTGTCAACTTGTGCCACAATCTTTATCTATTTTAGATCCAATGAAACTGCAGGACCCATTTGATGTGGCAAGGTCACAGTTTTCATAATAGCTAGAGCCTCACCCAAAGCATTTTGCCACTACTCTTTTCATTATCACATACCCTCTTGGTAAAGTCATTTTGCCAAAAATATCTTCCTTTTGTTCTCTTTCAGTCTCTTCTTCTATGTGCAGCAGTAGAATTTTGAACACAATGTTCAAATGCAATACAGTTAATGCATTAATACAGTGTTCATGCAGTACAATATTACAGATGATAGGGGCCTATATTTTTAAAGAGCCCTATGTTTTAAATTAGGCTAATAAATCTACATTTAGACAACTAAATAAATGGGAGTTCCAGATGATCAGCCCTGAAAATTTCGGCCTACATTACCATTCGGACACTCAAAATCATAAATATTTAGTTAAGAATGTGAATGATTCATTTATACAAGCAAAAACACCTACATAGTCCATTGCATCGTCAGCAAAAAGTCTAAACTGTGTATTTTCAGCCCCTTTTATAAAAAATATTACAGCATTCACATTAATAGTTCAGTACTCTACAGTTAGGCTACAGTAGAACTCTGGAAATGTTCTGTAAAATTAATGAAGCAAATAGTATTTCTTTCAACAGAGCATTCAAAAGATATTTCAGATATTATTGTCCTGACCTTCTAAGGGTTACTGTCAGGCTTCTTGACTTCCAAACTACTTGCTTGAAACGTTGTTTTAAATCTACTGGTTTGAATATGACAGGACTGCTAATTGCTGCAGAACAGACTTTCAATCATCATTACTGTGATGTCTTGCATCATCCTCCCACTGACACCCCTCTGCCTATATTCTAGGACACAAGTAACATACATAGTCACATGTTCACATGTGCGCTATGTAAGACATCCGAATTATTATTATTTCTGTTCTTAACGTATCACTGAAGCAACTAACTGGAAAAAGGAAAAACCCTCCTCTTGCGTAATGTATCAGCCTAAATGTGTGTTTACACCAGTACCCTCTACTGGACAGAAGCAGAACTCAAAAGCTTGTACCTGTATTTGCACTCCTTTGGTTTTTGGCCCAAAGAGAGGATATATAAAACCTAACATGGCTCATGGTGATCCTCCTTTCTCTCAATCTTAAGGGGAGGTCTGGGAAATGCTCTGAGAATTTAAGTCAATGATTTAGAGAATCTGATGAGTTTAAAGCCAATCACATTATTCTTGGCCTGACATGATCTTTGAATGTTTGGATTTGGCAATACAAATTACAGTGCACATACATTCCAGTTTCAGACAGGGACAGAGAGAAAACCTTGATATTGACTGTAT